TTTTCCCTCTGCCCTGCCGTGCCAGCCCAGGGTCTGACACCCGGTGTTTGGTTTTCCGCGCTGCAGCAGCGCTGGACAGACCGGGACCCACTAGAGCAGCACAAATTCAGGGCGTGCTCTGTCCTCTCCTCAGTCTCTGGCAGTGTTTATAGTGTTCAGTAGCACTTTGTTGCAGGTTTGCTGCACAAACTGTCACCGAGCAGAGGGTCCAGCTGCACGTGGCTCAGCACCGGGCCAGGCTGGGAGCCCCGCTCTCCCTTTTCTCTCCCTCTAAAACATCATGTTTTGGTTAAGTATATTGAGACTTGTGCCAGCAGGTGTGAGGCTGCTGCTTGCTAGGCAGAAACGATGTCACCTTTGCTGTGGTGAGAAGGGCACTTACCAGAAGAACTGGAACTTTGGGGCAGCAGAAAAGGGGAGGGATTGAGATTCAGAATCCAGGTTTCAGATTCGTTGTTAGGAATGACCACACTGGAGGCTGCCAGCTGCATCAGCCTTTTAAAATGGCAAGTTGAAGTTATCAGGCCCAGTCAGGATTCTACACCCATGCAAATTAGAAGTAAACTACTAGAATGTTTCCTGGACTGAAATCCTGAAAGGGCAGGGGAAATGTGATCGCCAAGATGGAGCAGGTACAGGGGAGGACACCCCTGCAGAGCACACACCTGGGGCAGCTGGGGCTGCTGTAACCAGAACCAAGGGCCAGGGCTCAAATGCCCATCAGACATTTGAAACCAAGGACTCCGACCTGCTTTCCAGGCCTTCAGACCCAGAGGTTTCTGTTAAACCTCTCCCACAGGAACAGCCCCCTTGGAACTGGAAAAGCAAGAGGAATTTGATAGAAAGTGCTGTTAAAAGCAGCAGGAGGAGGATGCTCAGTTCAGCACCCGTGCTGCACACTAGTTGAAGCAGGGAGCACACACAAGCCTCCTGAAAATTGCTCAGCATTATTCAAAAACCCACAGTTACAGCTCAGCTGCTAAATAATTGATCCCCTAAAGATACGTCCATACAAGTTTGTGAGGTAAAGCACAAGCAGATCCAAACCATCCAGAGGACAGCAAACAACCTCCAGTGCTGGACCCCAAGACACAACCATGAGCTGTAGGATATTTACAAGGAATTCCCACCCTGGAAAATGTAAAACATGACACAGCACAGAAACCCAGAGGATCAAGTTTAACCTCAACCCAAAAGGATGTGAAATCTGTCCTCAAAGCATCTTGAGCCAAGGGCCTTTTGCAGCCCTGAAGCCCACGAGGTGGCTGGAGAAGCAGCAATTTCCATGTTGTGCTTCTGATACCAAGTAACTCAGAGAGCCCAAATAAAGTCAGTTCTCAGATGGATTAAGTGTTTCTCTCCTTAGACTGAAAGCTGGGAAGTGAGATCTGAGGACCCTCTACAGCAGCTCCAGGCAGCACCTCACTTGTCCCCAGCCCGTCCTCAGGCTGCTCATGGACCTTCCCCAGGCAATCTGACTCAGGAGTGTCACCCCAACATGTTCACATTGCTTTTATTTAGGTCTTCTGCCAACAGTTATATGGGTAACAGACACTTGGGACTGCAAAGTCAAAGTTGCAAGCAATAATCAGGACCAAGGCAAAAATAAAAATAAAAATAAATGCACAAATGCAATCAAATCAAACATAAATACAATGTTCTGGAGCTCTTTAATCATACCATTTTCTTTAATAGAGGTGGTTATGATCTTACAGTATTTTCTTTTGGCCTAATCCAAGGAGTTTGTTACTCTTTACCAGCCTTAATTCCACGCATACAAAAAAAAAATTTATATTCAACCTTTAAAATATAAGCCATACTTTCTTAATAAAATAAGTTTTGTGCTGCTGCTTGTTCAGTAAGTACTGTACATCAACTGTTCACGTCTATTTAACAAATGGACCACACAGAGTTCAAGCTAAAGCAAAAAATAACAACCCAGAGTGTCTTGTAAACACCCCATGTACAGTTCAACACTTGCTCATAAAAAGGAGGTACGAAAGGGGCTAGAAATCAAACACAAAAGCACTGGAGTCCCGTAAATTTTCTTTCACAACTATTGAAGTGCAAATCACTCAGGCAAGATATGAGTTTATTGCTGTCCTGCTGTCTGGCTTCCCTTCCTGCAAGAATCACATTCTTTTTATTTCACACTCATTTTCCAAGAAGAAAACTTCCTGCGAGGCAACGTTGAACACTTGGGCTTGTGGACACTGAGACACCAGAACACCCTGGCCGCCCTGGGCGCTGCGGGGAGGGGGAGCTCTGCCCTCCAACCCCCCCATTGTGTCCAGATATGAGATAAGGGAAACAAACAGTACTCAGCAGCTGGTGGGTAAACGGGGGTTCTCCTCTTCCCACACGTGCTTCCAGTTGCAGGAGGAAGGCGTGCACAGAGAAGGCAGAGACCTGGAGCCATCCAGGATGTCCCCGTGGGGTTTGTGGCTAACTACAGATCCTGACATGGGAACACCTATCTGCTGTGGGAGCAAAACAGCACCTCAACATGCAGCTACTCCCTCGCATCTCGGATAAGAAAAGGGTGGAAATGCTGGAGCCACGTGGAGGGCACAGTGAGTGCATAGTCCATGATACAAAACGTGCGGGTAACTCAAACCCCTTCTGAATTTCTCCAAAATGGAAATAGGGTTTAAAGGGCACAGCAGCTACTGAGTTTGGCTTTTTTATTTATTCAAAAACCATGAAAACCCAACGCAGAGGGTGAAATAAGGGCAGAACACAATCTGCAAGTCAACAGCTGAGAGTTTCAGAAGCTGTGAAGCTTTTGTGTAGTTAAAATTGCTGTTAAAGTAGGTGCTACATCAGCAAGTCTTCATTCATAGTTTTCTATGAACAGCCACCTTACAAATGAGTGCAAATCTTAAAGGTCCATTTTACATTTCAAGTCTCAAGGTTAAAAAAAATTGTTACAGAGCAACAAGCTGTTTCTGTAAATGCCCACACTATCTCTTTTTCAAATGGTTAAAAATGGCACGTGCTATGCCACAGCTACTAAAAGACATTTCAGAATTCTAGACCCAACTAAAACACAAAAATAAAAACTAGAAACCCAAATACTTTGCCCCTTGCTGCAGAACAGCAGCCAGGTGCTTTCCATTGCAATGCTGGTGAACAAGCTGATTTGCAGAGAGAACTTTGACCTCAACCCCAATTTTATTCTTAATGAGGAGCTTTCTAACACAAGGTGAGCAGATGCAGCCCCTCTGAGATCACTTTGCTTTCAATGAACACAAGCCAGAGTTCTGAGGATGAGATGGAGGTGCTGGATTTGTGTCACTATGCAGGCACTTGTGTAGAGGAATGTAGGCTTCTCCTGTTGACACCGAGTGCTGATGCATTCCCTACTCTCTAAAAGCCTTCCTAAGAAGTTCCTATCCTATTGATCAGGAATAGTTCCTGGTCTCCTCCCCATCACCTTGCAGATATACAGCAGTGGAGGTTGACACAAGGTGCAAAGGAGAATATGAACCAAATACTGTAGTCTTGAGGAAAAACAGGACTGTGCTAACCAGAGGATCTTCACAAAATGTGACATCAGGGGCTCAGCACTTAGTTTGCATAGCATAGTGATGTCTTCATTTTTCACAAACATGTTGCCCAAAAAGAAAACAGGCAGAGTGACTTCCCAGTGCTAGGACAGATCAATGGGCCAACATGACCAAGGTGGTTTTCATGAAGGCAAGGCAAGTTTGAACATCAGGAAGTACAAAACAAAAAGGTGTGCTTCTGCCCACGTGCTGCGCAGGGGCAGTGCCTGGGGGACCTGCCTGGGAAACGCCTTCACGTTTGGCAGTAAAACGACAACAGAGCTCTTCCCTCAAGAGCTAGGCAGGGGCGTGCACGTAGCAGTGTCTCTTGAAGGAAGCTCTGTGCACACATTGATATAAAAACCCGGATCATCTGCCCAGATGATATTGGCAATGGGTGCTACTGCTGCCCCGCTGTGCAGCACGGTCATTCTGCGCAGCAAAAGGAGTCTGAGAAGCAGTCACTGTGTCACTGCTGGGGAAAAGGCTTGTTTCCTGTTACAAACACAGGAGGAGTTTCCCACATGACAACAACAAGGATTTCACTGCTCTGACTAAGGAATGAACCTGGTGTGCTTTCAGAATAAAAAACCCTGTGCATAAGATCAGTGATGCCATGACACAAAGAGCAGCAAAACCTAGCAGCAGAGAGGGTGACAGTTGGGAGGTGCTGGAGCTGAGGGACACGGTGCTTCAGGGAGCAGCTGACCCGGGCACACGTGTGTGCCCAACACACAGGGGGACAGGAGCTGAGGAGCACCTGGAGCTGCGGCAGGAACACTCATGGGACAGGGAACGTCAGGAACCTCTGGCGAGAGCGCACGGTGATGTAAACTCTGAGCATGTTAATGACTTGTGTATTTTGGCAACAGACTCAGTATCGTATAAAAATAATGTTTAGTAAAAAAATCCCGATGTCCATCATAAAAAGTCAGGAAAAAAAAAAAAAAAAGGAGAAAAAGAAAAAGGAAAAGAATCGATAGTGATTCCTGCCCTCATGGGATGCAGACGCCCCCATCTGTCAGAAACAGTTTTAAATAACAAGTAGTACATTGGAAACAAAAATGGGTCAGCAGCCATTTAACGTGTCCTATATGAAAGTGCACATCTTTCAATGGAGTTTAACCACCATGAGGTCGTGATCTAACACAAACTGCAACTGAGGACCATAGAAATTAACTCCTTCCGATGGAAATATGGACCACCATCAAGACAAGATTACTATTCTCCTTACAAGATTAAAAACATTGAAATTTTGCAGCATCATAGTAAGGCACTCACCCAACGAAAAGTCTGTGACTGTTGCTTCAAATGGCAGCAGCTAACTAGCTTTTAACACGAGGAAGACAGTTTTCAGTTCTGAGCTAAGTGCTAGGGTGCCTTACATCATAGGGGGGAATTACTCAGGGGTGGGGAACTGTTAGTGTCAGAATTCTCCTATAAACTAGTTGGTTTTCCCCTTAACCCATTAAAGCATCTCATATTCTAAAATATTAGTTTTATAAATCTAGTCTTCTGTTTTAAGGCTCTAAAAATCCCCTCCCCCCAACCCCCACAAAAATACCTACCAGCACCTGGTGGGCAACAGAGAACCAAATCCACCAGTTCACAGACAGGAGTCTCTAGTATTGCATCTTGAAAATGAAAACCTGCTTCCGCCTCCTGGGAGTTTTATCCCTTCCTTGAATGCCTTCATGTGTTTGGTCAGGTCAAAATTTTGCAAAGCAAGAAAAAATTAAAAAAAATAATCGTCAAAGTCTCTTCCAATCCTACAAAGGTGTTGGATCTTTCTGTCCCGTGGTGCTGGTCTCCTGCCTCAAACCGACGCTGCCTGCCCTGCAGTGATTTCTCATTGGAAAAAAAAACAACAACAAGGTGTCCCAATGCTTCCTTTTTTGTATGGCTCCTACAAATCTGAAAGCTTTCTTGAGTGAGGTAACAAAAGTTAGGCTTTCAAGCAAAGTACATGGTACGTAAAGTGTCCTGATGAACCTGCACAGCCTTTGCCAAGGCCTGGGGGTCTCTGCCGTTGCTCTGTCCAGATATATGGCTGCCCTCGCCACTGCAAATCAAGGAAATCACTGCATAAATATTTTGTATTTCCCCCCAGGAACACTAAGGATCCCCTATGGAGATGATGGGCTGTGGGTGCTGTCAGCACAGGGAGGCACCTCACCACAGCGCATGGGGACGCTGCGTGTGCTGGTGACCATGCCTGGCACTGCAGAGACCCCAGCACCTCGAGGTGGCTGGTAATGCTCCAGCACCCCAGGGATGCTCCCCCAAGCCTGGGATGAGCTCAGGATGGGATTCAATCCTTCTGTATCCCCCAATCCCCCCTAGGCTGGGACCCCAGAGGATGAAGCTACGTGTGGGCCTCCTTCCCAGGCAGGGTGTCTGCAGCGCTGCACTGGCACGAGCACTTTCAAACACCAACACAGGGCACTGTGGCCCCTGCCCACCCCTGGGGCCTGCCCTCCAGGGGAGCCTCCCGAGCCCCTCACCTGTCATGCTCCTTATCCACGAGGTGGTACCGAGCTCGGAACGCCACCAGCCGCGCGTAATAGGCCGGGGCTGGGATGGAGACGGAGCGGGTGCAGCGCACGTAGGTGTGGCACAGCTGATAGGTGAGGATCTGCAGCTCGTCTGCTGTGAACCGGTTGTCATCCCAGAGCACGTAGTAATGGGATGGGCGGCTCGTGCCCTGGGAAGGAGAGGGGACAGTGAGGTGCTGCCTGCACCCAGACACAGGCAGCTGCTTCACCTCCTCATCACCTCTCCCTGATCCAAACGGCCTGGCAGACATCCTGAGCAGAAGAGGTGCCCGTGCTTCCCTCATCTGGGAATCCCACACCTGCCCGGGCACCGTGAAGCAGGAAAGCTCTTGGCCCTGAGGTGCAAACCATGGATGCTGCTGCCCCGGGCTCAGGCACTGCTGGTGTTCCCACACTGCTGCCCTGGCTCCCCACACCCACCCAGCACCAGCTCCCCACTGTCCTTGCAGGGGCAGAGGAAGCCAAAAAACCTCCCTTGTGGAAGCAGCTGTAGATCAAATGAGTGCAATTTTTTCAGTACTGTTTCTGACTGATCTTGGCTGCCTGTGGAAAGGCAGCTGCAGAGCAAGCTGCCTGCTGCAGGGACGGCTGCCCCAGCTCTGACGCCCACGGCCAGACAACAGGTCCCTGCTGACATCCAGGCTCCCCAGCAAGCCCAGCACGCTCAGACACCAGCTGCCAGGCTGCTGAATTGGCCACTCGGAAGGAAGAAAATCTCAGGAGAGATCCTTGGCTCCAGGAGAGAAACGGAGTACGTGCCACGGAAGGCAGCAGCAGCAGTGCCCTCCCAGCATCTGCTCACCAAACCACTGCCACAGCAGCTGGGACACCAGCACCAGCTCCCTGGAGCTGGAGGGGGCTGTGGCAGGGCCAGGGCAGCTGCACAGTCTGCACCCACAGCTGAGGGGAACCCACAGCACCCCCAGGGCCAGCTCTGCCCTACCTGAATGCCTGCATGGCTGCACAGGTAGAAGTCGAACTCAAAGGGATGGGTGATATTTGTATCCACTGTTGTTCCTGCTGGGATGTTCCCACTCTTCCCAATCTACAGAGAATAGAAAGAGATCCAAGCACTGCAGAGTTTGGTTATTTCCAGCTGCCCAGAGCACTGTCTGTAACACAGCTGCCCCATGCCAGGGCCACAGCACAGGGTCCCCATCTCAGTATCTCAGTTTGAGAGCACCATGCAGAGCCTCTCCCCAGGAGGCCATTAAAGGGGGACAGAAGCAGCTCATCCCACTCTGCTCCCTCTACAAACTGACTTTCTGGCATTTTCTTGTTGATTCTGCAATCAACACCAGGCACAACAGAAAGATGGAGCAAAAGGCATCAGAAGGAAAGCAGGCAGTGTGAGGGCTGGGCACTGGCCCATCCTACTGCACCTGTGGGGATTAAGTGAGCAGAACTCCAGGGATCTCTGCACCCGAGAGTCTCTGACACATGTAGTGGGGCTTTGCATCCAGAGCAAAAACTGTTACCAAGATTAAATCTTCACACTCAGACAAAGCCACAGTCTAATTAGACTAGATCTAACTGCTAAATTTAGATCAAATCTAGGAAAAGCTACATCAATCCATGTTACTGCACAGCACACGAACGAGCTGTGAGCAACCAAGGGGTTATTCATCCCGTCACGTCAGCGGCTGCAGCTATCACCAAAACAACAGATGTTTTCAAGCTGACAGAGGCTATTTCAAGAGAGCCACCAGGATCATCAGCACCCAGTAACTCATAATAACAGCAAACAGCTGTCTGGGTTTCTAGAAGCAGCCTAATCCGCACGGATGTGGGAGCCAAGTGAGCAGCAGGTTTCATTCAAGGAAGAGCTCTGTGCCTTCCCTTGGCACACCAGGGCTCTTCCTACAGGATGGGAAGGAACCAGCCACGTCCAGCACCCCGCAGAGCTCACCCTCTCGTTCTTGTCTGCACAGAAGAGACGGGTGTGATGCCTTTTCTGGACCACGATGTAGGTGATGCCAGGCTGGTAATCCTTCTCCAGCTTGATGCAGGCGTCTCGGATTGCTAGGAGCTCATAGTGAAGGATCTGGAGAGACAAGGACACGCAGAGTGAGGGGGCATGCTGGCACACAACTGTCCCTGCATGTCCTCAGGGAACCCTGCAGGGCATCTGAGGGGTCCTCACCTGTGGGAGCTGCCCCTCGGGAACACCATCACGGTAGAAGATGATCCTGGTGGGTTTGAAGCGGGTGGATTTGTAGAACTGGATGAGGAGCTCCCTCACCATGTAGGACAAGTCCTCGATGATCTCCTGGCGAGGACGCTGCACACGCACGGTGGCACAGTACCGGCTGGGGTGGGCATCCATGCTGCCCACAACCTGCAGCCACAGACAGGACAGGCCCACGCATTACAACGGGAGGGACAGAGGGGACCTGAGACATTCCCAGCCCCTGCTGGCTTCCAGCATCACAGCTGGCAGTGGGCAGAGAACTCTGAGCTCGCAGATCAGGAGGTGGAACAGTAAATCCTGTGCAGGCAACCAGAACCCAAAAGGGACATGCCTGGTGGAGGCTGTGTCCCAGTTCCCCCCAGCCACAGACAGGACAGGCCCACGCATTACAACGGGAGGGACAGAGGGGACCTGAGACATTCCCAGCCCCTGCTGGCTTCCAGCATCACAGCTGGCAGTGGGCAGAGAACTCTGAGCTCGCAGATCAGGAGGTGGAACAGTAAATCCTGTGCAGGCAACCAGAACCCAAAAGGGACATGCCTGGTGGAGGCTGTGTCCCAGTTCCACACTCTGCCATGCCCCTCCTGGTCTTTATGGCTGGCTGCTGCTGCTCTGCCCCCACATTGCTCCTCCTGCCCAGCAGTGGAGCGGGGCTGCCCTTTCTGCCTGCTTAAGCCTTTCTCCCTCCCTTACTCAGAGGGTTTTGGTAGAGCAGCCCCAGGTGGCCATGGCAGGAGCTGCCACCTCCAGAGGACATGCTGGAGCAGGGAGCTCTGGAGGGGAGACCTCAAAGATGTCAGCGCCAAGAGGCTGAGAGCAGCCCGGCTTGGCCGTGACACTGGGCTGAGGGCACAGCAGGAGTCATGGCCACGCTGGGAGACAAACACCCAGCTGCTCCACTGCACCGTGCAGTCCATCCCTCCGGAGCAGAGGGAAAGCACCAGAGCCCTCCGGGGTGCTGAGCCTGAGCACCCATTTCACTTTGGCTTCTCAAACTGAGTTCTGGGGTCTGGGCTGCACCAGCAGAGCCAACGGGCTCAATAAATGTTTCCTCTGGCCTCAGCTATGGACCCCTTTCTATTATCTAATTAACAGGGGACCAAGGACACGAGCAAGGCCATCTGACCCTTCTCCTCCCCTACAGCTTCAAAAAAGCTTTTATAAAAATTAAAACAAAAAACCCCACAGTGGTCCTGTACAAAAAAACAGAAAATGTTTTTGGAGTGGAAGAGCTGCCGTCAGGAAACAGACTGTTCTGTCCCACCCACACCTACAGCAAACAGCCAAGAGCATTTCCCAGCCCCTTCTAATTAAGAAAAAAACCCTCCTCCAAAGACGCATTTGCATGCCAAGGAAAACCTGAGCTATGAGTCCTGGAAAGTTAAGAACTTAATAGGAAAATGCTGACATGCTTAATTAAAACAGATGCTACAAGAACCTGACACTCTCCGCCGCCGCAGCAAGCACCACGGCTGAGCCCCAGGAAGGGCACGAGCTGCCACCCTCCCAGCCTCACAAGCACTGCCCCCAGTGAGTGCTCGTTACTCATTTGGGATGAAGGGAAATCCTCCTCCCCAAAAGGCTCAGAAGAAGCCCAGTCACCCCAGTTTCCCCCATCCTGCCTGCCTGGGGAAGGTCCCTCCTAGGGCTGCAGGCAGGACCAGTGTGGCCGGAGGTGACTTGGAGATCCCAGCAGGCCTGTCCAGCAGTGCCCCGGGCCCTGGGACACCACGAGCCCCATCTGCTGGCAGCTGCCAGCTCTCCAGCAGCTGCCCAAACCCACGGCTCCTCTGCGGAGAGGAAGGCGGGTATTGGGGCCATACAGCTCCCTTACAGACACACGAGCCCCAGCCCAGCTCCTGCATCCCTGCAGGACTCCTGGGCACCAAGCCAGGCCCTGAACAGGGAACTTACAGCTGTTATGGAGGGTTTCTTCCCATCTCCTGCCGGTGGGTGAGTGACATCGGCCCCGAGGAAGATCACTGGCTGCTGAAAGACAGCAGAGCTGGTGGGAGAGAACAGAAAATCAGCCTTTCAGGGTCATCTCAGGGCAATGCACACTCCGTGGAGGTGAACAGATCACAGAGAGGTCTTGTGACCTCCAGGCTCTGGCTGAGGCACATCAACAGCTCATTACAAGGTGAAACAGGCTGCAAACCCCCATTTCAAACAGGTACTTTATGGAGCTGCCCACAGGCCCCCTCCTCCCCAGGTGAAGCCAGGCAGGCAGCACCACAAGGGACTTGGGAAACAAGCCCCAGAGATGCAGGAGGCAGCAGCCGTACGAACCGCTGGTGAGGCACAAGGATGTTGTTGATCCCGCCAAGCTTGACGTTGATCTTGAGGCAGAGGTTGGAAAGGGTCTGAGGGGAGGTTTTCACCACGTTCTTGACCTGGACACACTGTGTGGCCATTCCCAGGAGGGTGTCCCCAACGCGCTTCACCTCAGCTGTGGGCAGAGGAAGCAGATGAACAAAGCCAGGCCACCAGCAGTGCACCACTGCCAGCAGTGACCTTGGAAATGGGGAGAAATCACTGCAGGAGGAGCAGAACCAGCCCCAAATGAAAGCAAAGCCCCTCTCCTCTCCCTGCCCCAGACTCACCATACACGGGTGTTTTCCCTGGCAGGATGACAATGATGAGCTGAAGGCCCGAATAGGTGTTCTTGAGGTGTCGGAACATGGGCTCCACACTGTCTGCCCCCTGGGCGTACTTGCAGAAGCAGGGCTGGCCCTGGATGGGCATCCCCGCGTCCTTGGAGATCTTGCGCAGCTGGTCCGTAAAGTTCCTGTGCCCAGGAGAAGCATCCAGCCCTGAGCCCTTCCACACAGCAGCTCCACATACACCCTGGCCACCAAGTGAGAAGGGACCCGCAGCTGGAGAGCCAGGGCACAGGACAGAGACAGGGACACCACAGCATCATGTCTGGGATTTTACACATCCAGCATAGTCAGGGAAACACAAGACCAACACGTGTCAGAGCTGAGACATCCCCTCTGAGTACCTCTTACCCCGGTCTGACTCTTCCTGAAGTGATGGAGCTGTGAGCTGCTCCTGTTAGAAAGCTGGAGAAGATGGGAGCAGACCTGCTTCACTTCCTGACGATTTGCAAAGCTGATGCAAACCTTCACTTACCAAACCAGGACAAGTGCTCAGCTACACTCTGGATATTTGCATTGCCAAGGATAAATTTGATGCAGGGAGAATCAGAAGGAGCCCCAGAGGGTCACACAAGAGGAGTGCAGTGTCACTCCCACCTCCCTGAGTTATTGCATGTGGAGACTTCACGCAGATCCAAACCATCCCAAACGTTATCTGTGCCAAACACGCACAAGAGGCACACAAAATGCTTGCATTAATGCATCCACTCTTGGCCAGGACAAACCTGAGTCCTCAGCAGAATCCAAAACCAAGGTGACCATCCCCTTAAATCAAATAAACTGTCCCTGCTCTGTGTCACTTTGTTACTGAAGCAGAGAATCTCTATATTACCAAATCTTTTTAGAAAGCCTACGACTTCTCTCTAATGAAAACCTGTGGCAAGTTAGGATGCTTCCTACATTAATTATATCATTTCAGAAAAGGTATTGGGTAAACTTTTTCCTTAAATATCCCTCACAACCCCACCTCTCTGTGGAGATTCAGCTGAGAAGAGTTCAGTGCAGCTTCAGGGCTGGCAGTGTCAGATCACAACACTGCAGCTTCCTGATGCAAAGGGCTGGCCAGGGGAAGCCCGACTGTCAGCTCCTGTGTGCTGGAATGCCCAGGTGCTCCCTCCAACCTGGCAGGCTCTGCCATGGCTCAGGGACTGTTTGCAGCCAGGATGAGCAGTCAGGGTGGGCACACCATGAGCCACAGCTGCGCCACATCACCCCACCCATGTGGGCTGCCCCTTTTCTTACTTCAGCACCTCCTCCCGACACTGCTTCTGCGGGGCAAAGCAGGCAATGGCCCAGACTTTGATCTCAATGCCGTTGTAGAACTGCTTCCCTCGCATGTCCCACACGCCTTGGTTGGGAGTTGCAATGGCCCGGTTCTGCAAGGCAAGCAGACAGTCAGAGTGTGGCACATCCTGCCCGGCCCCGCAGCCCCGGGGGGACCCCAGCCCCACTGTGATCCTGCCACCACAGCCAGCTCCCCGTGCTGCTCAGAATCACAGAATGTCTTGGGCTGGAAAAGACCTCCAAGATCATCCAGTACAGCCTTAGTCCTAACTCTGCTCGGCCACAGGCAGTTCACATCCTCAGCTGCTCAGGGGTGATGGAAACTTCACCCAAGCTGCCTTGCCCTCAGCATCCCTCTCCCCTTCAGCTCACTGGTTTTGTCACCAAACGACTCTTGGCTACACTTGCAGAGCAGTTATATTGCCAAAAGAGCCCAAAAAACCCAAACCCAAGGTGCTCAGATTAAAAAAAAAAATAAAAAAATAAAAAGATCACAGCTCTAAGCTACAAGCCTGGAGACAGCACAAGCTTTGTTGAGAAATGGCATGTTCTGGTGTGAAAGCACCTGCTGCACCACAGCCCTGCTTACCCTTACTTCAGCACCTCCTCCCGACACTGCTTCTGCGGGGCAAAGCAGGCAATGGCCCAGACTTTGATCTCAATGCCGTTGTAGAACTGCTTCCCTCGCATGTCCCACACGCCTTGGTTGGGAGTTGCAATGGCCCGGTTCTGCAAGGCAAGCAGACAGTCAGAGTGTGGCACATCCTGCCCGGCCCCGCAGCCCCGGGGGGACCCCAGCCCCACTGTGATCCTGCCACCACAGCCAGCTCCCCGTGCTGCTCAGAATCACAGAATGTCTTGGGCTGGAAAAGACCTCCAAGATCATCCAGTACAGCCTTAGTCCTAACTCTGCTCGGCCACAGGCAGTTCACATCCTCAGCTGCTCAGGGGTGATGGAAACTTCACCCAAGCTGCCTTGCCCTCAGCATCCCTCTCCCCTTCAGCTCACTGGTTTTGTCACCAAACGACTCTTGGCTACACTTGCAGAGCAGTTATATTGCCAAAAGAGCCCAAAAAACCCAAACCCAAGGTGCTCAGATTAAAAAAAAAAATAAAAAAATAAAAAGATCACAGCTCTAAGCTACAAGCCTGGAGACAGCACAAGCTTTGTTGAGAAATGGCATGTTCTGGTGTGAAAGCACCTGCTGCACCACAGCCCTGCTTACCCTGCCTCCGTACTGCAGGATGGGCGCGGGCAGGACCCTCCCCGTCACCTCCGTCATGTCATCCTTCACCTTGATCCCAAACTCCTGAATGTATGGGTCCAGGTTGTAGCTGGCGTTCTTCATCTGCAGAGGGAAGGGCCATGGGAGGGAGTGTGACCAACTGCTCCATCCCACACAGCTTCAGCTGACCAGGAAATGTGCCAACGACAGTCATGTTCTCTACAGAGATCAAGTCCTCTCTGCAGGGGGAGGGCAAGTGGTTGGACACCAAGGGCCAAGCCCTGTCCTCCAAAGTGATCCATGGGGAACCTGATTTTTGAAGGCACTGACAAATGTAACTGAGAGCAGAGTCTGCTACTGAGATTTAAGGCTTCAACAGGAGGGTTCAGACTGGCATGAGACTGTCATCAAGAGTCCCAGAAGGAATATCAAATGTCCCAGCTTTGAAAGCCCAGAGACACCCATTGGGGCAACAACAGCACCATCAACCAACTGCCCAGCTGCTGACAGAGCCAGGTTGGCTGTTCCTCTGGCTCACCCCAGGCTGACCTACAGACAGAGCTCCTGCACCATAGCCCCACAATGCACAGACCCCACGTACACCCAGAGCCAGGGTCATTTCTCCAATTTTTTTTTTCTATTTTTAGTTCCAGCTCCCTTTGGGTCAGGTTCCTTCAGCTCAAGGACCTGAATTTGCTGCACAAGAGTTTCCATGGTCACTTTGAGCTGGGCTGCCCTATGCAAATGTCTGTTACACACATGCAGTCATCTCTGATTCAGTTAAAAGAGGGGGAGATAAAACCAAGCCATCAATCCCAACAGCATCTTCTGAGCAGGTCACTAGCTCTCCAGCACAGAACAGCTGAGGAGCAGGACCACAACAAGGTTCATTGCAGATACAATGCCATAACCTGCCACCAGAGACAGGGCCCCAAAACCATCACCCCTGTGGACTCCTGCCACGTACCAGGCGACTGATCTCCTCCTGCCTGTCTGGGGCAGACCTGGCCGTTGCTTTTATCATGGTTGATGTTTGATTGTCTGTGAGCTTCTTGATGCACCGCTGGCCTGCCACGATGTTGCACACCTGCATGGGAGGAGAGAGACAGCAGCCACACGTTGGTGACAGGCAGGACACATGGGACCACAGCTGAGCTGCCCCACAGGCACTCGGGCCCTGCAGCCGCAAAACCGAGATGCTGAGCCTGCAGCTGCAGGAAAATGGCATTTTTACAGTGTGGTCTCCTCCCTCACTTACTAGAAGTGGCTCTTGCCAGGTTTACACTGGGGCAATCAGAACCCATGCCACGTTAGCTGCAGAACATTGTCATGCATCTGTCAACAAAGGCCACTCGTTTTTGCTTTGAACGGTGCCCACAAGCTGGGGTGCCCAGTGGAGCTGACACTCACCTCCAAGGGCAGGTACGTGTGCTTCTGCTCCTGGCCAACCTGGAGACAGGGTAGGTGGGGATACTTCAGCTGCAGGTTGTATTTCTGCTTAAAGTACTGAGCCACTGTGCACTCCACTGTCTGACCGCTCTCCAGCTGCAGGGGAAACCTGTCAAGAGGCAGGACATGAAGGATGGACCTACTCGAAACAGACACTTCCAGACCTCAAGCACTACTTTGGCTGGGATGAGAGGGAACTGGCAGGCTCCCACCCCCAGCTACCATGAAAGAAAATAAAAAGCAGAGCCGTGGTATTTTCAGAAACCAAGTCAGGAATACTCTGATCCCAGTGTGGGCCTGAGGTCCCTAAATAAAGCTCTCCCTCAGTAATCCAGTTAATCAGGACAAATGTTTATTGCAGGACGTGCCATGCATGCCACTGCCAGGTACAGAACACAGCACACTGGCACTCAGGAGGAGTTCAGTGCTTGGTGCACCCCCTGGAAGCCAAGCTGAGCTCCAGGCAAACATTAACCAGCCTCTCCCAGCATGGGGCAGCAGCTGTAGGGCAGGCAGAGCGTGGGGGGCATGAGGGGTCCATGTCCCTTCAGAAACACGGGGGAAAAAAAATCAACCTTCCTGGTGGCAGGACAAAGAGGTGCCACCCACAGCCAGAGTATGTGATACCAGCCTCACCCAGCACCAGCTGCTCCCAGCTCCATAAAGAGCTCCATGAAAATGAAGAATTGACTCAATATTCTTTTATGGAGCCAAAATGAGACAGGGGAGCAGTCCCAGTGCCCTGGCGAGGCATCGCGCTCCTCCTGAGCCTGCCAAGCCACTGGGAACCAAGGATGCTGGAGCAGGGTGTGTGCAGCCACAGGCACAGACCCCAGCAAGGTACACCTGGAGATGGGGCTGTGCCACCAGGAAACATGGCTATGGAGAGGGAGGGGACCCCCTTCAGGGGGGCTCTGAGCCTGAGAGAACTGACCTCAGGGGTAGAGCTGCTTTGGTATCGGGCAAGAACCAGGAGGAGATTTTCTGCCAGCACTTGGGAGCCAATGTGTCTTGTGTTTTTCTTTTTTTTTTTTTTTTTAAACTGCTGGCAACATTTCTGGCAACACTGCAGAAACTTGAGGGGCAGACAGCCTGAGAAACTTCCCACCTCCCTTCCAGCTGCACTCAATGAGCCCCCACAGGTAACACAGGCACAGCCCCTCCTGCCCCAGCACCACTGCCTGCACCCAGAGGTCTAAAGCAGCTGCCTGCTCCTCCCCAGCCTCTGCCTCAAACCCCATTTTGCTTCCAAGCCTCTCCAGGGGCAATTGCCAGGGAAAACCCCTGGAAACACCATAGGCTGTGGCACTTGACAGCTCGGTGCTGAGGGCACCATCTCTGTGGGGCTGCCCCTGTCCCTGGGGGGCAGCAGGGAGCAGAGCAGCCCCCCAACATGCAGGGGTGCCCAGGCCCACCCACTGCCAGGCACATGCAAATAATTTCAAGGCAGGGAATCATTCTATCCCCTGACAAAGCTTCTGCTTTGGCAGCAACTATTTTAAGAAAGATGGAAACCAAACTTGGAGGTGAAAACTAGGACAACTCCTGGCATGTCAGCTCCCGCCCGCTGCTGCCAGACAAAGCATCCTCTGCTTCCCACCCTCCCCTGCATCCCACTCGCCTTCACCACACGTGGCACGGAGCTGTGTGAGCTGCTGTGCCCTGAGCATGTCTCCTTTTCCCCTAACGACATGAGCAGCTGCTGAAAGGGAAAACATTCAGATTTTTCCAGGGCATCTTCCCACCCGCCTTACGTCTGGTGGCTGGCCGGCCGCCTGGTAACGTTGCACACGCGGTATTTCCTCTTCATCTGCCCACAGTGGGTGACCTCCACCTTCAGACCTGAGGTGAGACCGGGAGACACAGCAGAGTCACTGGGAAAGGTGGGAGTGAGTCCCCTTCACTCAACTCCCCCAGGCACCACCAACACCCGCCTTAAATAACGAGCTCTTTGCAGAGCAGATGCCCTGTAGAGTGTGCAGGAGGGAGGGAAGATGCTCCAGAAGACATTTCCAATGCACCCCACCCAGCTGCAGGGGCAGGCAGCAGACACACCATGCTTGGTCCCCAGCCCTCCCCAGGGCTCTACCTTTGATCTCCTTGGTGAAACGCACTCGCTGCGAGTCCGTCAGGGGCTTGGGCTGCTCGTCAATGTTCCGGATGTCCAGCACCTCACACATGAACTCGATCACAGGCTGGGCTTTGTAGAAGGCCGTGGCTGACACTGTGGGACAGACACCACGATGTGTCTCTGCTCCTTCCCAGCAGACAGGCCTGGCCAAGAGCTGGCCAGATCCAGCCTCCCCAGATACACCCAGCCCCACTGAGGCAGTGCTCCAGTGTGAAAAATACATCACCATCAATGTTGAGCATCATCTTCCACATGGCAGGCCTGACCGACTGGTGGAAACCAAACCAGACCTCCCTGCCACCACCCAGGGGGTGGTAATAACCTTCGGGGGGGGAGAAGAAGGAGCGGCCAACGGGAGTGTACCTGTGAACCACAGCAAACCTGGTCAGATGGCACCTGGGAAGCACCTCCAGTCCCTCCCAGCCACCGCCTGCACCACCTCCTTTATTACCATTGCAGGAGCACCCACAATGACCACACTCAGCAGGGTGGCAGGCACAGCCACCTCCTCCCAAGGACCATCAAGGCCATTCCCAGCCACGACAGCAGCCATCCCCCTTCCCAGCACACTCAGTGCCAGCCCTTGGCACAGGTACCTCATGGAAGCCAGATGCCTCATGGCAACGTCCAGCGCCTGGACAGACTCCAGGGGAACAGGGATCTGCCCACTGACCAGGGCCTCGTGCAGCATGCGCCAGCTCACGATGGCCATCCATTTGATGGAGACCTTAAATATCCTGTCCTTGCCTTCCCCTGGGATCGTCACCTCAAAGTCAACCTGAGTGCAGAAGGGAGGGAAGCGATGGTGGCATCCCACAGGCACGAGGGAAGGAGGCTGTTTATAGCCAGCTCTTCCCAGGCACAAGGCACATTGTGCTCTCCTGCACGGGGCTCCCCTGCTCTTACCCTCTCATTTCCGATGGGTAAGGCTGTGACAGTGTAGATGTTCTTCTTCCCATCGTAGACTGGCTTTCGGTCACCAAAGATCTGTGGTTTGAAGTGCTGTACCATGTACTCCACAACTTCCCTATGCAGGAAAGTGAGGAAGAAAGAGGGGGAGAGAGAGAGAAAGACAGGGTTTGTTTTACCATTTTCTTTACAGCCTGATACCTTCTGCAATCAGCCCAGCCCCAAGCCTCCCCACCTGGGGCACTTCAGAGCAGAGCCAGGTCCCCCAGGCAGGAGGGACCCTGGACAAGCAGCCACATGCCTTGTCCCACAGCTCAGCACATTGGCTTTGGCAGAAGTTTACACAGCAGGAAGTGGGGCTGGCAGCAAACCCACCGTGCCTGCGGGAAGGCGAGAGGCAGCAATTCACTGCTTATCCGCCCTCGAGGCAGAGAGCTACCCAGGCTGCTGGGGCAGGAGGGGACAGGCAGCGAGTAGGATGTCAAAAAGAAAAACAAAGAAAAGTACACGATGGCCTGAGGTCTGGGCTGGCTATTTTTAAATACGGGATTGTTGCCAAAATAGCACAGCTGCTGTGAAGAGGCAGGGGACTGTCCTGGCTTTCAGGACCTCCAAGGCTGTTGGGGGCAGCAACCAGCACTGCTGCACAAACATGGCCACTGGGTCCAGACACTCACGGGCACCAGGCAATGCTGTGACCCCTGCCACCATGTCACCCTGATGGCTTCCACTAGGAAAGACAGAGACAGGCACTAACGGAGCCTCCGCAAGGAAACTGGTAGCGGGGAACGAGTGCCAAAACCTCTAATACTTGCCTTACCTGTTGACTCTGCGTGGACATTTGTCAGGCTTGATATCCACTTCATAATGATACACATCAATCTTGGGAATGTCCACTTCAAAGTAGTTGGCTAAGAGCTTGATGGGCTTCCCAACGGTTCCTATCCCGGGTCGACGCGGCGCTTGAAATACCTGCTGCAAGGGGGGCAGGTATGCGCCTGCAGCTGTGGGGGAGAAACAGGTCAGGAGGGCTGGGAGAAACCTCGTGCCCAGACAGACACATGGACAATGCAGCACTTTCCACCATCGCATCTCAAACCTGGAGGTCTCCCATGACTCCTGGCAGGAAGTGATGGTGGCAGAACATGGACCAGCACAGCTGGAAGGAGCTTCTCTAGACACCGCTTGGCAAGTGCTAGTGCCAGCTGAGCTGCCAAGGGGTAGCCCCGGTGGCTGTGCCACCAGCTGTGTCCATCTCAAACCATCCCCTGCTGGATGAACAGACAGGCAGACACTGGGGTTTTCCCCTCCATCCTCCAGCAAATTCTGACTTGCTGCTGGAGTAAGGATGCCACAAGAAATAGGAAATATCTTATTGCACCTGCACTACTCCATCATTTAACTACTTGATTTTGCAGGAAAACAGCTCACTTTGGCTTTATACCAGTTATTAATGATGGCGTTTCCAACTCCAGGTCACGGGATAACTCTGTCCCAGTACCTCCCTGTGTGGGAGTGCAGTGTGTGGATATTTGGAGTGTTCCATCTGGGTGGCCAACTGTCCAAGTCAGCCCCTGAACAGCATCTCAGATCCAATTCTGGCTCTTGAACACATGGTGCTCTTAGCACCCCTCACTCCCAACAACTTTCTTTTTAAATCTGAATTTCAATTGCAGGCTAAAAATATCAGAAGCAGAAAACCAGCCAACTCCAGTTTTGCACCTGACCTCTGCAAAACTTTGCCTGTCAATGGAAGGACCACAGGACACCCAAGGGACACGACAACTCTCAGGAGTGTCCAGGGACCAAACTGCAGTGTTAACTTCTGCAAAACCAACCTCTGCTCTTGCCTCTGCCCTATGGCAGGAGCCCAGGAGCTCCAAAATCTGGCAGAAGCCCCAAGCCTGGGGCAAACCCATCCCCAGTGCCTCCTCAGATAAGGCAGTCTGGGACTTGGAGCAGTTTGACAAGCAAGACAGGGATCTCTGAGGCTGGCACGGGGCTCAGACCCTGCAGGCACTGACGGCTGCTCCAGGACAGGGCGGTCACCAGCACCCCCAAGACAAACAGCTGCACTGTGCTCCTGGGGCAACTCGTTTTAAGAGACTGATTTTCTGATGAGCTACTGGTGCAATTCATGTCTCCACATGACAAACATTTCTTGGCAATCTCCAGCTCCCTGCCTGCAAGCTGATGCATTTTTAAATCATGGTTCGTGATCAAAGAGGTATTTGCCACCAGAGCCTCCAGTCCCTGCTCTGTTTTCAGAGCAAGAAGCCACTCAGCCCAGTTCCATGACCTGCTGGAAGACAGCAGCTCTTTGCTGCCTTCTCTGGAACCACATCACAGCCAGCACCCAGTGTCTCCTCTTCTGGACCTTCTCATCTCCAAGATGATCCCAGCAGCTGTGCCTGGGCAGAAGAGCATCTCCACATGCCCATAGCATTCCCACAACTGCAGGGGATCTGGGGCAGCAGCCACGGCTCAGCAGCTGCCTGGTGGCACTTTGGTGGCAGAGAAGAGCTGAAGCAGGTTTGGGGCTGCTGCAGAAGGTCCTGCACCCATCCCACAACCCTGGTACTGCACCATCAGCCTGAAAATAACACTTTGCCATCCAAACTAACGCGCCGGAGGATCACCAGATGCTTCATGAACATAAAGCCTGGCAATTAGGATCATGAATCACAGATGAAGGAGTCAGCCTCTAGCAACATGAAAACTGGCTCAGGAGTTTGATGTGAGCCACAAGATATTGCAAAGGCAAGGCAAAATAACTGGGCAGCCTGGCTGGGGGGAGCAGCACCATGGAGGCAGAGAGACGCTCTGCAGAGACAAGGGCAGGACACAAGACCACTGTCAAGGATGGGGAAGTTCACTCCTGGGCTGACCCAGAGGGTTTTATTTTGGCAACTGCAGACACATGGTCCTCTTTGGTGGACACACAGGTTTGGCTCACCCCTCCCCACACCACATCCCTGCCCCAGGATGCTCATGGGTGTGTCCCCCCCAAGATTCACCATGACACAAACCCATCCCTAACACCTTGTGCCACAGCTCAGAGAAGCAGAAAAGGGGCCAGTGACTAAACGTGCCAGTTCCCCCCTTCGGTAGAAAGCCTCGTTAGCCCGGAGACAGGGGGGCTTGTGCATACCTAGACTCTCCATGGAAGCTGTGCAGGCTCCCACTTTGTCATGTAAATTCAGGCGCCCGGGGCCGGGGGCTGGAGGGCGAGTGTTGTTCCTGCAGCACAATGCGGCCAGTGAGCGGGATGAAATCCGCCTGCCATTATAAATTCCGCGGCCCGGGGGGCATCACAG